TCAGGCATACATGAGAGTGTCTCCACCTGCTCAGCTCCCCCGGTCCCATCTTTTGATGTTTACACGTTACTGTTTTCAACTCAACAGGCTGGGTTTTGAAGAATTATAGTCCTGGGTCTTGTCACAGGTCATTTCTTGGCAGCTGCCTTCCTTTGGAAAGTGTTTTCCTGCTCTGTTTGTTTGTGTTTTGTTTTTGTTTTTGTTTTTGTTTTTGATGTATGTACCACCTTTTGGGGGAAAACATCATGCCTTGGGTTTCTTGGGGAAGGAGGCAGCTAGTAGGGAAGTATCCATCCCTACCCCATTCCCTTAGGAAGGAATTACAGCCTCACCCAGTCTCTTTGGTGTTTTGATTTCGTTTATACTTAGGCACAAGCACATCAGATTGGTTTGTTCATTTTGCCCTTTGGGTTTGCAGCCAGAAGCACTCCTGAGCTGCCCAGGTTGAGTTGAAGGGGAAGCGAGGTCTGTTTGTTTCATGCTGTGGTCTCCAGGACACCTCCTTCAGTCCTTTGTATTCTTAGAAACAGAGTCACTCCTTGGCAGCAGTAAATCCTGCAGACACTGCTGGCCAGGGTTTGGTTTCAAGTCCCCAGCCTTGGAGAGACAGTGCCAGCTTCTCTGTCCCTTTCAGCCCTTTGGGCACAGAGGTCACGTCCTCCAAATAGAAACCTACTGCACTTGTGACTTGATCTAGAATTCTGGTTTAATTTCACGGACTTGGGAAAAGCTATTCAGCTTTTCTCCTCGATTCAGCTTTCAGGAACAGTTGAGTGCACATCTGGAGGGCATAGATGGTTCCTCGGGAAGATAATAGTGATGTCTATTGTGTGACTATGTGTGACTTCAAACAACAATGTGTAACTCTGAGCTCCTCTTTCCTCCTCTGTAAGGAGAATGTAAAGTCCGCTACAGCAAGGATAACCTGAAGTCATACATATGAAAAGCCCTGGGACACAAGACCTGGTGTCCCTTCCTTCCTCACAGGCAAGAGGTTCAGTTCCCCCTGAGCAGCTGGCTCTGAGGGTTAGGCTCCGTCATTTAAATCTGCTACACAACCTCTTTTTGCTTACTCCTAGCTTTTGAGTGATGGATATTTTTTTTTCCTACCCCAGGATGGAGTGAATATTCATAACCCAGACCATAAATTGTCTTAGCGGCTAGTTTATTGACTGCTCTGTGTCTGGCAGGCTTTATGCCAAGCACCATCTGCCCATCATAGTTCCCTCTCATCCTGGAACTCTTCTGCCATACAGGCGCCGTGCTGCCAGAGTGCACAACAAGTTCAGAGGGTTCCTTCTCCGTGCTCAGTCAGGACCATGGTACCACGGTTTTCAACTTGTATGAACCCGTCCTGGGGAGATGAAAACAAACGTCTCCTGACCCCAGGCTAGGCATCAATGACAAAATAAAGTAAGGATTCCATTCAAGTCCACCTTGAGAACCAGTGAGTCCACTGGGTTCCCTTAGAGACCATGAGTGAAGGGTTGCTTACAGTGCTGTGGTTGACCCCCTCTTAAAAAACAAAACAAAACAAAAAAACTACACTATCAAAAAAGCTTCCCTCAGTATCAATGGCAGCTGCCCCATAGCTGCATAAATGAGGTTCCCTTTCATTTAACCATCCACATTCTGTCTACTTTGGGGGTCCTGAGACTTCAAGGCAATGGACAGCTCAGACAAAATTATATACAGCTGGGAAAGAGTAGGAAAGAGTGACTAGATCTCAAGTAAGGTCTCCTGACCCTCCCACTCCCTCCTCCCATGAGGAACCCTCAACAAGCTGGATCTGGAATGTATTCATTCCAGCAATGTGGGCAATCCCAGCTGTTCTCATGAAGATGGTAATGGCTCTTAGGCTCAAAGGACAGACTTCCACAGCCTGGCTATCCCTTCTCGGTCCCTATGAATATGATAAAGTTCTCCCTTCTGTTCGCCTTCCTGACCTCTTGGCAAGGAGTGGTCTGAGCTCCAACATTTGTGTGGGCCCATTTCAATGTCAAGAGCAAAAGGACTTCAAGCTTCAGAGCCTGTTAACTTTGTTCCCACTTTGCGCTAGCCTATGGGCCACCGGTGAGTCCGAAGAGCTGGGAGCTCAGGCAGGACATCTGCCTTCGATCCACTGCATCCCCAGGGTCCTGTTGCACTCCATTCTGTTCCATGACTCACTGCCTGCAGGAGGCAGCAGAACTGGGACCACTCAGACTTCAAGCTGGAGACTACTTGTTTCTTCACTGTGCCTCACATCTTTCTGTGGCCTTTGCTTTTCTTGTCATTGAGAAGATGGCCTTGGGACTAGAGAGATGGCTCAGTGGGTAAGCACCCCTGCTACTTCTGCAAAGGATGAGTTTGGTTCCCAACATCTACATGGCAGCGTATAAACATCTGTAGTAACTTCAGCTCTGTGGGATCTGTACCCTCTTCTGGCCTTTGTGGACCACAGGCATGCAGGTGCTGCATATACATACATACAAGCAAACACCCATACTCATGAAAATAAATAAAAATGAGAAAATAGTGTAATAGCTTTTGCATAGATGTACCCCGACTTTTCAGGCCTTTGAGCATAGACTCACTCTCCTCTTCCACAGAGGCCTGCAGGCTCTCAGTCTGAGCTCAAAGCTGCCAGGCATCTGGTCCCTATGCTGAGTGTAAGAGTGTAAGAGTTCTACAGGGTCCTGTTTCATCTCACCTGGAATCTACTAGTCTTGAAAGCCTTGGTAAAATTAGTACTCAAATGTTGCCAAGAGAGGATTTGGTCATCCTAAAGAAGATATCCACCTAGTCATATTCTGATGTATGGGATACTGGCATCACATGAGATGTCCATCCTTCTGCTTCTCAATGTCATGGCCAGAGGTCTTCAGTTGGATAGCAATCAGAATAGCAGCTGGCATTCCTTTGGGGTTTATTTTCTAGAGTTTATAGCTAGTCAGGCAAGTTGATAAAACTGAATTATACATAACCCCAAACCATTTCTTTGTGGAAGTATTTTTAATATGCAAGTATTCACCAAATCTCAGGAGTGCCATTTAAAATGACAACAGCTAGCATTTGAGTGCTTGCTTTTCATTGGCTCAGGATCTATGACCAACTTCCAAGTATGGTGTCATTTAAACCTCTGACAATACTGTGAGATTCATTCCATCACCCTTTGGACACTAAGGAGGCAAGGCCACTGCCACAGATGGCATACACTGGGTATAGGGTTTTGTCCTTGAACTGGCTGAATCTGGACTCCACGTTTTTGTTTTGTTTTGTTTTTGTGTGTTTTTTTTTTTTTTTTTTTTACCAATGGGCAAATATGGTATGATATTTTGTTTGTGTTCTGACAAATAAAGCTTGCCTGGAGATCAGAGGGTGGAGCTAGCCACTAGTTAACCATAGAGGTCAGGCAGTGGTGGCCCACACCTTTAATCCCAGCATTTGGGAGGAACAAGTAGGAAGGTCAGGAGTTCAAGGCCACCCTGGGCTACAGGAGATTGACCCAGTCTAAAAGAGAAACAGAGCTGAGTGCACACCTTTAATCCCAGCTCTAGGGAGGTGGAGACAGGATCTCGCCTTCCCCACCCCCCTTTGGTCTGAGGATTCGTAGAGGTAAGAAGTTTCTAGTGGTTGCTGCTCTGCTTCTCTGATCTTTCAGCTTTCACCTTCAATATCTGTCTCTGGGTTTTTATTGATTAAGACTAATTAGGATTGTGCTTCAGGCAAAGCTGTAGGAGTGTTTGCTAAGCCTTCCACAATTTGAATATTAACTATTATAGTCTAACTCGGGTTATAGTTGGTAAGCTGTTGGTTTAAACAGATTTAATGGGGGGTCCGCTATGTACAGAACTGGGGTGCAGTGTCCCTTGTGATTCCTTGAGCTCTTCTGGAGCCCCTGCTCTCCTGGACATTGCATATGAATAAGTGGGAAACGCAGGCCTAAAGTGTCTGGTATCAAGTTTCTAGATAGTAGCTTCATACTCATCTACACATTGGATCTCTTCAAGGAACTTTAAAAATGACCCATGCCGGGCCTCAGTTCTCAGAGATTCCAGTTTAGTAAGAATGGAGTCCAGGCATTAATGATGTTTAAATAATTGTTGGGGGTCAGGACACTTCTTTGTATTTCATGTACAAAGTTGTAAGCCAGGTGTGGTGGCAATATGTTTTATCCTAGTACTTAGGAGGCAGAGGTAGGTGGATGTATGTGTGTTCAACCAGGTCTACATATCAAATTGCAGGCTAGCCTGAGCTGCATAGTGAGACCCTGTCTCTGAAATGACAAACCACATAAGGTCTTGTAACACATCAGGGGAAGAAAGAGTGTCCTTTATCAGTAGATGACTTAATACAATTTGAGCTTTTTGTTTCTTTGTTCTCAATTGACCTATGCTTTTTTTTCTTACTGTCCCTGTTTGGCCATGGAGAGTCTTTACTCACGGCCCTAACTTTGCACTCAACTGTGCTGACCAGCCCTTCACACGGAAGTTTTATATGGGTTCCTGTGTTGGCTGGTGACCCCGAGGCTCAGCACTCTCATTTCTGCCAGAAGGAAGGGAGTACCTCCTTGAAAAGCTGACAGTGCATTGTGGGTGATCGCGTTAGCAGCTGCAGTCATCTAAGGTTTACACTGTGGATAAGGAGCTGCAAAGGGTGTTGACGTCACTGTCGGGTGAGCCAGTGGAACTGGGTAATAGAATTGTCTCTTGGTTTGGTAGTTGACATTATCATGGTATCTTAGTGTACCTGAGGAGCTTTCTTGGGCGTTTCGGAAACGGTGTGACCTTGCCCATCAGTGACAATGGTTGTTTTCCTCTACTCTCTCATGTATCTTTTCAGAGGTGGGATTTCAAGATTCCCACTCGCTCTCCAGCTCACGCAGGTGAGTCCCTGTTCTGCCAAAGCATTTGTAATGGGAAGGTCTCCGCTGTTCTAAGAAAGCATTTGTAATGGGAAGGTCTCCGCTGTTCTAAGAAAGCATTTGTAATGGGAATGTCTCTGTTGTTCTCTTGCAGTACAACAAACACCTCTTCGTGCACATTGGACATGCCAACCATTCTTACAGTGACCCATTGCTTGAATCTGTGGACATTCGTCAGATATATGACAAATTTCCTGAAAAAAAAGGTGGCTTGAAGGAACTGTTTGGAAAAGGCCCTCAAAATGCCTTCTTCCTCGTAAAGTTCTGGGTGAGTAGACAATGGCTGTGATTTGGCTGGTTCCCGTGAGTGAGGTGCAGTACAGCCCGCTGTAGTTCCACACTGACTGGGTAGGTGGGCCCCAGAGCTTCCTCGTGGGGTGACTCATAGGTGGCTGGAGTCACAGTGCAAAACTTGAGACACTCTTCCCTTTCTGCTGCATTTCACCCCAGTAAGCCAAGTGACCTGTGACTTTGACTGGAGCATGGAACCTGGAGTCAGGATGAGTGGTGTGCCTCAAGGTTTTCTAAGTATCAGAGAGGCTACACGGTGCCTTCGCCAGTCATGGCTTCACTCCTGGGCCGGGGAAATGGCTCAGGCGATAACATGTCAGCCATACCAACACAGGGAGGGATCTGAGTATGATCTCCCACACCCGGGTCCAAAAGCCAGCTGTGGTAGCAAGCACCTGCCATCCCAGTGCTGAGGAGGGAGGATGGGAGGGTGCCTGGACTTCACTGGGCAGCCAGAGTAGCCTGCTTAGGCCAGTGTAAGCCTTTGTCTCAAAGAACTAAGCTGATGGCTCCTGAGGGACCACACCTGAGGGTGTGCTCTGGCTTGTACACACCAGAAAAGAAAGAACTCCATTCCTGCTTTCCCAGGCCGGGGGCCACTTGAATTATCCTCGGTGACCGGGCTTGCTGATGTGCCTTCACCACCTCTGAAAGATGCTCTATGTCCCTTTCCCTCTAGTGGTCAAGTGTGGGCCAGCGGCCTGCTGATAGGGCTGTCCGGGCTGTGATGTGTGGGTACTGAGTGGGGAGCACAGGAGACGAGCCACTAGTCCCCAGTCTACAAGAAGAGGCTTCAAGTGTTTGGGCTTCTCGCTGTGTCATTCAGGGCCCTCGATGACCTGCTTCCAAGGTGCTTTCCGCCTGGGTTTCGCAGGCCCCTTGGGCCTCCCTTCCCTTCCGTGTACTACACATCGTCACGCTCATCTAGATACCATTGTCTTGTCCTCTGCTGTCACCAGGCCAGCTACTTCCTCTCTCGGCACCTTCCTCACTAGAGCAGAGCATTGATTCCCCCCCCACACACACTCCTGTTTCATTTTGTGGTTAATCAGTCCCCATGCTGGGTCATAATTATTGGGACGTGTATTCAGCTCCCCTCTGGACTCTGACTGCCCCCAGGGGACCTTATTCACAGAGTGGCTTCCATTTATTGAGTGCCTGCTGCGCGCTAGGCGTGGGCTAAGTGCTTTACATGGATTTCATGCTCTAAGTGGAATTTGTCTCATATCCAACTAAGAAGGCAGGCCTGGGGATGACAAAGGACAAGCGGCTTCAGGCTGGGGACCTGGTGCTTGAAATCAGATCTGTCAATTTCAGTCCACCTCCCTGTGTCCAGGTGGCTTAACCCATGGGCCCCAGAGTTTGTCATCCTAAGACTCTCTATAATTGTGACACCAAGCATGTGTCCTAGAGGAAAAAGCCTGGCCAATGTGGGAACAAATGGATGGATGAGAGGAAAATGTATGTTTTAAATTCCTTGGGGGATTTGCACATTAAATTTACCCCACTTTTCCATCCTTCCTTGGGGACTAGGTTACCCTGATTAAGGCATCAGCGTTGAAACTTGGGTGGATGTAGCCAGCGTTAACATTTAGGGCAGCCTAAGAAAGCTGCACAGGCCACTTTGCTAAGCTGGTGGCTGCTCGGGATGGGTTAGAAGGTGACCACCTGCTGGGTCCCTCAGGATCCTGCATGCCTGTTCGCTTTCATTCCGCAAGTTCTCCTGTATCGCAGCCTGGTTTTGAACTTGTTATGTCGCCAAGGATGATCCTGAACTTCTGAGCCTTCTGCCTTTCCCTCCAAGTGTTGGGATTGCAGGTATGCGTTACCACACCAGGGCTCCATGCATGCTAGGCTATGCCTACACCCTACCACCTGCGCTCTCCTGCCTGCCCTGCCCCAGTATCTTTTAATGGATTGATAAGATCACAACTGTACTTGTTAGAATTCTGAAGTGTGACTTGCCCTGATCTGTACCCTGCTGGTGGTGCTCACACCGGTGACGTAGCAGCAGTGTGCTCAAGGAGGTGACACGGTAGGACCCAAAGCTAAGGCTCTGCTCCTGAGATGCACCATCGTTGGGAAGTAGGACAAGTCAAGGCAACAAGTCCTGTGTGCGTCCGATTACACCGAGGACCTAGAGCACATGTTGGCAATGAACACACCGAGCCCATCTGGACATGGAAAAGTACAGACATTATTGCCAAAGATAAAGTTCAAGTTTGTAAAGGGAAACTAGAATTTTGGGAAATTTGTCCCTATTTCAGTGAACTTGCCAGGTGCCCAGTACCTAAAGGGCTTTCTGTTCTTCACAGTAACTGAAAGAACTCTGCTGGGAGACTGACAGATTTAATGCTGGAGAAGGCAACCTTGGTTGGTGTGAATTTGGATTGCTCACACACCAGAGCTAACCCTCGAGAAACTCTGGCTGAGGAGCTAGCTCAGTAAAGGGTTTGGCAAACAAGCATGAGGACCCCAGTTTGATGTCCAGTGCCTCTATAAAAAGCCACCTGTGGTGACATGCACTGTAATCCCAGTGTCAGGGAGGTAGAGACAGATGGATTCCTGGGGCAGACCAACCACTTAGCCCAGTCTACTTAGGGAGTTCTCAGCCAGTGAGAAACCTTTGACCCCAAATATGAGGTGAGGCCGGCTGGATGGCTCAGTGGGTAGAAGTGCATGCTGCCAAGCTCGATGAGCATGGTCGAAGGGAGAGAACCAACTCTCACCAGTTGTCTCCTGGCCTTCCCCCGTGTGCTGTCCTCCCAGAATAAACCAACAAACAAATAAATGTAATTAAAATAAGAAGACAAGGTGGGTGGCTTTTAATGGACAACACCAGAGGTTGTCCATTGGTCTTCTTGACACAGTACACACACACACACACACACACACACACACACACACACACACACACACACACACACATACATATACACACACACACATACATACACACACATACACATACATACACATACACACACATAAACACATACACATACACACACATACACATAAACACACACACATACACACACACACACACATACATATACACACACATAAACACACACATACACACATACACACGCACACATACATACATACACACACATACACACACATACACACAAACATAAACATACGTACACACACATACACACACACATACACACACACACATAAACACACACACACACAAAGAAAGTATGGCTTTTGTTGAAGAAAAATTGGTGTAATCACCTGAGTAACCTATTACAAATGTCAAACAGTGCTATTCCCACTTACTATTTGTTTGTTTGTTTGTTTGTTTGTTGAGGCAGATTCTCTGTAACTCAGGCTGGCCTCAAACTCAGAGATCAGACTGCCTCTGCCCCCAAGTGCTGGGATTAAAGATGTGTGCCAGCACCCTGGGCCTCCTTCTTACTACTATAAAAAATATAGGCGTGCTTAGCTGGGCCTGGTGGTGACCTGGGGCAGATCTCTAAATTTGAGTTCAGTCTAGTCTACAGAGAGAGTTCCATGTCAGCCAGGGTCTCGCAGGAAAAAAAAACCTTTTTCGAAAAAGCAAACAAAAAATCACACACACACACACACACACACACACACACACACACACACACATATGTATGCTCTGCATGCATGCTTAAATTTTAAAAGGTGTGTATTAGTATATAATTTATTTTTGGAGGCTACTATAAGGTAAGGTAAAAACTGTCTATGGTACAGAAGATAGATATGAACTATGAAAAACAAAAGCTGTGTTTTAAGCCTAAGAACGGTCCTTGAGTCAAGTTTGATAGTCCTATTGTCAAAGACAGGAAATGGGGTTTATACAAGTTAATAGGAAAGGATAAGATAATTAGAAGAGACCACTTTCACTACTTTCAAATTAAACAGCAGTGGATTTTAATGATGATAAGATTTCTTATAATTAACATTTTATTTGAATGTAAATTTATGTAGAAGGTGCTTGGACAGATTTTTATCTATCTATCTATCTATCTATCTATCTATCTATCTATTTTTGGCTTTGCTTCCAAAATTGCTCCTTTTACCCAGTGGATGAGTTGCTTTCCCTGAGGGGACCCTTGGGTCATGACTCTCCTGATAATGTCTCCTGATAAGGAGGCCTAGATAGCAGATGTGTGGCTGGTGGTGTACACACTTAGAATGTTACTCTATGAGCCCAGATACTTATCTGTTCTATTCAGATGTACAGGATTAAAATTGAGCACTTCCGTGAATATGATAGAAAACGTGACTCCTTCAGTACCACTGCTGGGAGTCCTTAACCTTTACGAGGAAATTCACTCGAACTGTTAGAACAGAGGAGGAAAGGCACTTTCAATCAGGCTGCGGTTTGGAGTCTCACTGGCTTCTGTAATGACTTGGTGAAGATGGGTTGCGCTCTTAGCATCTCTATCCTTGGGTATCAGCAGGTGCGTGCCGTTCACGATGCTTCAGAAGGTTTAACGCTCCCTTTGAAACAGCCTTTATATTAGTGATTCATTTAGCAGATTCTTTTCTTAGTGTGAATTCAGTAAATTACAACAGAGACCCCTGTGCCTAGCCACTCTCCCTTTTGCCTTTTTCTCAAATCAGGAGGACTCTTAATTTGCTCATTTGATTGCTGTTGAAATTCCATTTTCAGAGTGTCTGACCTGGGTTCAGTAAGGCAAGACAACCCGAGGTGTTTCCTAAGGAAAAATAACTGTGCTGCCATTTCACAGACCTACAACCAAAGCAAATGACAGAACCCAGAACGCCAGTGTGGGCACCTCAGGCAATGGAAGCTTAAGCTGTCATTGCCCAAGTGGACTGAGCTGGGCAGAATTAAGCCAAGTAATGATTCCAGAGGAAGTGAACCAAAATAAGGAATGTAGATGAAGCTAGTATCTTTGAGGGGATCTCAGATTTCTGCTTTCAATCCTAATAGTGCTCAAGAGTGTCAAATAGTCATGTAAAGAAAGC